AAAGGACGTTCCCAGGAAGAAAAGAGCTATTATTAACCCTCTTTCAACTTCCTTTGCTTGGGCAAAGGAGTCTATCCTCTTATCTATGGAGCTGAAACTTCTAAAATAGTAGTTCATATGACTAATATAAAGTATGTCAAAGTTTAAATGTAAAAACATCTGTAAAAATATAATATGATTTGTTTAAGGCTAAATGGAATGAGTCAGGTTTTGAGGGTAGATTTTAAGTGCTTTAGGATGTGGGTGAATGTTTTCAGAGCTTAATGTTTGAGAGCTAGAGTGAGAAAATTATACATACAGAATATATCTTACCTTCGGTATTCTTAAAATAGAATGTTGTCCTATCACAGATGTGACAGAATGAATAGCCTTTCAGGTCACCTATTTTTCAAATGCATAATTCATTTCAATTTCTACCTTCTTTTCCTTTGCATTTAGCCACCGTCTGGAATACTTCAAGCCTTTCAGTTTTAACACACTGCTTGGAGAAGAATGGAAACAACCAGAATCTGACCTGTGGCTAACAGAGAAACCTGATGCATAGGAGTATAGTAGATGATCATATCAATCATTTCTTCTCTATACTTTTTAAGGTAAATCATCCTATATAATAAAAGCGTAGTATGCAAATTGTCCCCTCGACAGGGAGTTGTCTGGGAGTTTGACCAGGGGGCAGGGTCGGCCTAGGGAAAGGAGGGAGGCCCTGGCCGGCAGCCAGCAGCTGCTAGGGACCCTACCAGTGCATAAATTTCGTGCACTGGGCCTCTAGTAATAAATATAATCTCTTTCAAGTATAATGTGAAAACATTTCAACAATAAGTATTTTCATAAAGGTCAATGAAAATATAATGTTTCTCTGACAAATTTTGTATAAATTAACAAGAAAATGGAAAGTTTGTAGATTATTATATCTATAAAGTTAAAATTTTTCTTACAGTCATTTAGTCCAGGAGCCACAGTGTCAGTAAATTCTGTCATCTGCTTCACATCATCCTTACACTAAATATCCCTGACTCTGTCAATCAAATCATTATTTCTCTTCTCACTTCCCTAAACCTTATTTAGCCTGAGATAGAAAAATCTAATTTTCACATTTTTGAACTCCATGTACATTAATTCTTTACTCAGAATCTTTTGTCCATTCTTGAACTGGGTAGAAAACAAGGATATATTTCAGTTGAACAGGAAATCCACATCTGTTAAGGCATCATTAAGATACATGTGTTATTTAAATTAGCTATTTTCCCTGTCTTATAGCTATTTTTACTTTGTAGAAGAAATGGAATTCAGATAACAGCTTCTGCATTTATTTATAAAGAAATGCCATTTTCTGAATGCTAGTAAACAATGTGTTGAATGTACTCATTTTGTAAACATCAAAACATCATGGTCTACAGTTTTTAAAATTTCTGTCATATTTCAGAGCTAGAAGCAATCTAGTAAATCATTTATGAACTTCTCTACCTGTTCCTTCTCCAGCATTCTAAACTTAAATAATTAGCAGTTTTGCAGAAGAAACTTTAAAAAGAGAAATCTTTATTGTTGAAAGTATTACATATATCCCCTTCTTCCCCCCATTAACCCCTTCTAATCCAACCCTGCCCCCCACCCCAGGCCTTCACTTCACTATTGTCAGTGTCTATGGGTTATGAATATATGCATATAAGTTCTTTGGTTGATCTCTAGAAACTTTATTACTTATGCAGATACCTAGTTCCTACCCACTACATACGTTCTCCTGTTCTTTACTGAAAGAACATTAATTTTTAGAGGCTCTACTCAAAAACTGCATTTTCCCAGATGCCTTTGCAGATAGAAATGACTCTATAAAACAGTTCACATCAATGAGATATGAGTATATAGTATCTGGTGGGGCTTAAAGAAAAGATGCTTTAAAGATGAAAGACTCAGCTGCCATACACATTTTGTCCTTCGCCCTCCCCTTCCTTTTTCCTGAGTTGCAGAATGAATCCCTGAGGTAACACACTAGCTTCATTGTGTCAGCAAGGAGCCAACCCAGGGATAGGTAGTTGAGTAGAAAGACAAAGGAGCCTGGGTTCTGAACTATGCAGTAGAGTAATCTATCTGGACTGTCCAGCTATATAGGAGAGAATAAATGTCTAATTTGTTTTCCCCAAAGTGATTTATTGATTCAGTGCAATCCAAGTATAAAATCCTATGAGGCTTTTTGGGGATAGAAATTGACAAGATGATTCAAATTTTGTGTGGAAATGCCAAAACAGTTTTGAAACACAATGAAGTTGGAAGACATATACTAACTGAATCAAGACTTGTTACTAATCTTCAATAGTGAAGACAGTATGACCTTGGCATAAATTTAGACAAATATATCAATGGAATAGAATAGAGGAACCAGGAAGAGAACTATGTAGTCAGTTGACTTGTGACAGAGGTGCCAATGCATTTAAGAGGGAAAGGATAGTCTTTTCAACAAATGGTGTTGGAATAACTGGGAAAAATATGAAAAAAAAAATGAACCTTGACCTCTAACATACTCCAAAAGAAAAAAAAATGAACCTAAATGTAACTGGTAAAATAAAAAATTCTGGGAGAAATTCTTCACAGTCTGCAGGAAACAGATTTCAAATAGGACATAAAAAGCACTCACTAAAATAGAAAAAAAACACACAAATAAATTGGACTTTATCAAAATTAAACGCTTCTCATCAAAAGCCTTCAGTGAGAATGTGAAAAAGCAAGCCAAAATTGGGATAAAATATTCAAAATACACAGTATCAGTAATAAAAAGACAAGCCAATTAAGGAGCAAAAGAGTTGAACAGACACTTCCCAGAGGAAAGCAACAAAAGGCCAATCAGTATATAGAAAGGCTCTCAACCTCACTTATCAAAAATGTGAATTAAAACCACAGGAAGATGCTACTGAATGACTAAAATTACAAAATACGCAATGGCTAACTGGCTAAAAAAAAAAAATACAGCAGAAGATGCTACTGAATGACTAAAATTACAAAATATGCAATGGCTAACTGGCTAAAAAAAAAATACAGCAAAAAACAAAACAACAACCCTGAAAATGAGAACATGGAGTAACTGGAATCTTTCAACATTGTGGGTAGGAATGTTAATGGTACAACCACTTGGGAACTATTTGGCAATTTCTAGTATAGTTAAATACATTCCTACCCTATGATTGAGCAGTTTCATTCTTAGATGTATACTCAAGAAAAATGAATGTTCTTAGCAGCTTTATTCATAACAGCGCCAAACTGTAGACAATCTCAAATTTCTATCCCCAGGAGAATGGATAATCTGATAGAGTCAGACAATGGAATACTACTAGTAAAAAAGAATGGCCTGTTGATGGATGCAAAAACCTAGATGAATCTGAAAAGCATTATGCTGAGAAAAATAAGAGAGAATATACTGTATAATTATTTTTATGTGAAGGCCAATTATACGCAAAACTAGACTATCCTGAATCAGAACCACAGCTGTTCTGCATAAGGGCAAGGGATTCAAATGACCTGGAAAAGGGGCATGAGGGAATTTTCTGGGTTGAAATGTTTTGTGTTTTGATCTGGATGATGGTATATACCTGCATACATTTGTCAACATTCCTCAAGCTGTATATATTTTAAGATTTGTGGTTTTACTATATGTAAATTATTCCTTAATAAAATGCTGTTATAAAAAAATCTGTAAATAGTGTTCACTTCAAGTTTATGCTGTTCCATTAAATAATCATTAGTGCTGGTTAAATGTGACTTATCAACTGACTTTTTTTCTTTCAGTTATTAAATATCTTCTCTATATGAAAAGAGCTGGTGAAAAATAAATGCTGACTTTTACAAGAAGCACTAAAACTACATATCATGGTGACAGTGTTAGGTGTCTTTGATTAAATACAGAAGTTATATTAGCAACTAACTAATTTGATACGGTAACAGTCTGCCAGTTTTGGATAGGAAAGGCATATTTTAAATAATCTAGGGTGACTTATTTATGTTACCTGAAATAATTTTATAAATGCATATAAAACTCTTAGGACAGGGGTGGGCAACCTTTTTGTGAGTGCATGCCAAAACCAGCAAAATCTCTGACTCAAAATTCTTCTGCGTGCCAACCCTAATTTTTTAAGAACATGTTACGCCTACTTGATATCTCATAAGGTGTACGTACGTGAAGAACCTTGAAGAAATAATAAAATTCATTCGAGCGACAAAAACACAGTATATGATGATGAAAATACATTTATTTTTTAATGTATACATGTACACTGATAGTCTGACAGAAAACTTTATGACTCTGTTTGATATTATCAGTGGGACTTTTGCTGCTGCATCACTGATGACAGAGATTTTACATCAGCTTTATATTTTGTAACCATCAGAGATATGCACGAGCTACTACTTTCATCTGTCAGGCTACTCCTATTATGAGACTTAACAAAATTCATCACTGAGAACAAAGATTCAGAAGTGTATGTGGATGAAAACATGGAGAGTAATGCTGTTGCAAAGTTTTTTAAACAGAAAAAATTTTCTGGAATGGCATTCCAAGTCCTCAATAGTTCGTTTTCAACACTTCTCTCTGGTACTCCTGTCTCTAATCACTTTTTTTCAATGTTTTCCAACTCAACTCTAAGGTCAGTAAATTTCTGCTTCCCAGTTGAGCTACTCTGAAATTCAATCAACTGCATTTCAAAGTCAGCCATGTCTATGGTCTTTAAGATAACTTGTTATGTAAAATTATTTATTTAAGATGCACCTACACTGAATTTATCTGAAAAATAAAAAAAGTCGATATTAAGAAAAAAATTATAAATGGAAGATTATAAGAAAGGGTTTTGCATGCCAGCAAGAGTTACTGGCGTGCCATGTTTGGCACGTGTGCCAGGGGTTGCCCACCCTTGTCTTAGGACAAAAAATAAGGTAATTTTAGAGTATCTCAATTTTAGAAATGAATCAATCACTGTGAATTATAGGTTCAGATATAAGTCATCTATACATATAAAACCCTAATATGCAAGTAGACTGAACGGTCAACCAACCAAACAACTGGTTACTGTGACGTGCGCTGACTACTGGGGGCACGCATGGTACATGGCGGGCGTTGGCAGCAGGCGGCAGAGTGTGGAATACGGTGGCCATCTGCTGCGGCAGGAGCAAGTGAGCGGGTGCACCAGACCAAGGCAGGGTGCCGGTTGCTGTCATCGGGGTGATCATCTGGTGGTTACTGAAAATTCTTTGCTCCTCAGGGGTGATCGGGGCCAGCAGCTGCCTCTCGCACCTGCTGCCGGCTGCTCACACCCACTGCTGGCTCCTGGCACTGGCCCCCGATTCCTCTGCGTCATCAGCAGGTACAAGCAGGGCCTGTGCCATCAGCACCTGAGAGCTACAGCAGTGCGAGCAGAACTGCTGGCAGACAGGGGCCAGGTGGGGGCACAGAGGATAGGCTGGGACCCACTCCTGTGCCCACTGCAGCCTTGCAGCCCACAGTTCATTTCAAGGTGCATGAATTCATGCACTGGGCCCCTGGTAACTTTATAATGTGGAGAAAAAATAAAGCCCAAAT